AAAAAAAAAAAAAAAAAGATCAATGAAATTGATAGACTGCTAGCCAGACTAATAAGAGAGAAGAATCAAATAGACACAATTTAAAAATGGTAAAGGGATATCACCACTGATCCCACAGAAATACAAACTACCATCAGAGAATACTATAAACACCTCTACTCAAATAAACTAGAAAATCTACAAGAAATGGATAAATTCCTGGACATAGACACTCTCGCAAGACTAAACCAGGAAGAAGTTGAATCCCTGAATAACAGACCAATAACAAGTTCTGAAATTGAGGCAGTAATTAATACCCTACTAACCAAAAAAAAGCCCATGACCAGATGGATTCACAGCCAAATTCTACCAAAGGTACAAAGAGGAGCTGGAACCATTCTTTTTCAAATGATTTCAAACTATAGAAAAAGAGGGACTCCTCCCTAACTCATTTTATGAGGGCAGCATCAACTCGATACCAAAACCTGGCAGAGACATAACAAAAAAAGAAATTTTCAATCCCATATCCCTGACAAATATCAATGCAAAAATCCTGAATAAAATACTGGCAAACCAAATCCAGCAGCATAACAAAAAGCTTATCCACCATGATCAAGTCAGATTCATCCCTGGGATGCAAGGCTGGTTCAACATACGCGAATCAATAAACATAATCCCTCACATAAACAGAACCAATGACAAAAACCACATCATTGTCTCAACAGATGCAGAAAAGGCCTTCAATAAAATTCAACACCTCTTCATGCTAAAAACTCTCAATAAACTAAGTATTGATGGAATGTATCTCAAAATAATAACAGCTATTAAGGACAAACCCCCAGCCAATATCATACGGAATGGGCAAAAGCTGGAAGTATTCCCTTTGAAACTTGGCACAAGACAAGGATGGCCCCTCTCATCACTCGTATTTAACATAATATTGGAAGTTCTGGCCAGGACAATCAGGTAAGAAAAAGAAATAAATGGTATTTAAATAGGAAGAGAGGAAGTCAAATTGTCTGTTTGCAGATGACATGATTGTGTATTTAGAAAACCCCATCATCTCAGCCCAAAATCTCCTTAAGCTGATAAGCAACTTCAGCAATGTCTCAGGATTCAAAATCAATGTGCAAAAATCACAAGCATTCCTATACACCAGTAATAGACAGAGAGCTAAATCATGAGTGAACCTGTGAGTTGTATTCCTAGGTATTTTATTGTCTTTGTAGCAATTGCTACCACTACTCAGGGAAATAAGAGAGGACACAAACAAATGGAAAATATTCCATGCTCATGGATAGGAATAATCAATATCATGAAAATGGCCATACTGCCCAAAGTAATTTATACATTCAATGCTATCCCCATCAAGCTACCATTAACTTTCTTCAGAATTAGCAAAAAACTACTTTAAATTTCCTAAGGAACCAAAAAAGAGCCCATATAGCCAAGACAATCCTAAGCAAAAAGAACAAAGCTGGAAGCATCATGCTACCTGGCTTCAAACTATACTACAAGGCTACAGTAATCAAACAGCATAGTACTGGTACCAAAACACATATATAGACCAATGGAACAGAACAGAGGCCTCGGAAATAACACCACACATCTATAACCATCTGATCTTTGACAAACCTGACAAATACAAGCTATGGGGAAAGGATTCCCTATTTAATAAATGATGTTGGGAAAACTGGCTAGCCATATGCAGAAAACTGAAACTGGACTCCTTCCTTACAACTTATACAAAAATTAACTCAAGATGTATTAAAGATTTAAACATAAGACCTAAAACCATAAAAACCCTAGAAGAAAACCTAAGCAATACCATTCAGGACATAAGCATGGGCAAAGACTTCATGACTAAAACACCAAAAGCAATGACAACAAAAGTCAAAATTGACAAAGGGGATCTAATTAAACTAAATAGCTTCTGCACAGCAAAAGAAACTATTATCACAGTGAACAGGCAACCTACAGAATAAGAGAAAATTTTTGCAATCTACCCATGTGACAAAGGGCTTATATCCAGAATCTACAAGGTACTTATAGAAATTTACAAGACAAAAAAAACAACCCCATCAAAAA